TTCCAGCAATTCTGTACCAAACCCTTTATTATTCTCTTGAACTGTTCTGAAAAGTCTGTATGCAAGCGATCAATGTTCTGCTGAAGAGAAGAATGTGGTTCAGCTGACATGTGCATTCCAGTTTCTGAGCTACTATGTACATGTTTAAAAACCTCCTTTTGAATAGCTTGAACATACACTTTTCTTACATTTCCCCATGTGGGATCCTGATGTTTTCTCCCCAGAGAAAGCTGTGAAATCCTATACATCCCTGTCCTGAAATATGAGATACATGTAGCTCCTTCTCCACAGGCTGAGATGTATAGTGATTGTGACAATTTGTACATCATGTTGTTCTGCTTGCTACCATACTTCTGACATACAGTACACTGCCTGCAATAAATGAATGATTATGGGAAACTAATGTCATCTGGATATTTTCTTAGAAGAATTACCAGTTTGAATTTTAATTACATTTATTTTTGGTTTTTTACTTGCACAAAGAATGTAAGCAATCATTGCCGTCTTATCACTGAGATGGTCGTGGTAAACTTGAAAGACAAATCTAAAGGTTGATTTTTAGCAATAGAGGATTGTGACAAAATCTAAAGGTAGCAGAATGTATCAAAAACAGACAGGTATAATCTCTAGAAATTCTAATAGGAACTAAGATCATCCTTTAAGAGGGATTTTACAGCAAGATTATGGCCTTCATTCATATACCAATTGTGTATGCAAAGAACACTTGTAAATCTGCTTCCCCAGCAGCATCTATGTTTCAAATGGTTGAAACTGCAGCAAAGTTATGACCAAATTCTTGCAGTCATGTTCCTGGGGGTAGTGTCAGTGCTCATTAATGTCCTGGTAGTTGGTACAAATTTGTATTAGTGGAACTGAGAGTAGAATTTGGCTCCGACTATCTCCTCCGTTGCAAAAAAAAAAAAAAAATATGTTTAAAATCATTTATGATCACTGAAATAACTCATGAACCTTTTCAAACTCCCTATGTTTCATACTTGCAGACATTTGCAGTGCACCCTTAGGAGGTGCAGTACCTCTTTAAATATTCTGAAAACTTTCTAGAACTGCTTACTTTGAAAACAGAAAGGGATGGGTTTGTAAACTGTAAATAACAGAAATCTATTTAACATGTTATTTATTTTTTCAATGACTGTGACCTTATGCACTGTGAATGCTCTGTGATATGGGGTCCTTTGTACAGATAAATATGTCATGAGATCCAGGTGGATTTAATGTGATAATTTGTTACAAAATGTTGGCATGACATTTGATTATTTTTGTTGTGAAAATAAAATTTTAAAAAAGTTAATTCAGCATTTATAAAAGATTATAGCAGTCAGTATTGTAATGCACTATATAAAGATATGTACACTATCAATAAATTATATAAACAACTAGAGTGCTGGGTTTTTCCTCAGATGATGAGAACATGTGAAACATTCTCATATTTATTGTTGAAAATCTAAAATTTCAGGACCCAGCTAGGATATGTGCCTGATCTTTCTTGGTGAAATCTGGACTCTGCTGAACTGAATGACAGAAGGCCCACATTTTCGTCTTTTCCAGGGAGTATCACTTGGATCAAGACATTATTTGGGGTGAGTTAAGTGTATGTGTTTGATTCACAAGAATACTGAAACATACTATTTGCTAATTTGGGACTAGAATGTATGGCTTTCAGATAACACAGTTTGCTGTACAGAGGCACTGATCCAGAAACAATTATGGCTGTCTCAGAAACACCCTGATCAACACCATTTTGGCTGCTTTGTCTCATGGTACAGTGGTATGGAGCAGGCTCACACTGAATACTGGATGCTGATTAGAGGGGATGGAAGCAAAGTCCAAAAGCCACACAGTACTACTTTCCCAGTTACCTCAGCTCTGCACATACCGTGAAGAGAAGGAATAATCCCTCTTAGCATAGACTGCCCATTTCCAACATCCCCATAGTCTACCTCAGGGTCTGTGATGACCACTGGTGTATGTACATAGTCTCTGGTACACTCAGTTCTGGGCTGACAAAAAGCTTTTAAATGCAGTTCTTGGAAAAAGAGGAGCTAAGAGTTAACATTGTCTCGTGCTGGTATATTAACAATTTCATTAGACAAGAGTCTTCTCATGAATACTCCTAGCCAGTTTACTACCAGGAGATACAAGTTAAAACAAAGCTTGGTCTTATTTTCCTTAACCACAAGGCATGCTTTTGGAATCCCTGTTGCTGTATAAACCTGTCATTAACCACTGTGGGTTTTGTGCATCTACAGAAGATTCCTTGTGAAGTGGAGAAAAGGGGTATCCTGCATTCTTTGATTTTTGTATAAGGGTTAATTCTTTGGAATATATTAGGCTAACCCTAACTTTTTCTAAACTGAGGAAAGGAAACGATTCCTTCTTACACACAGAATTAACTTTTAAAAATCAAAATCTGAATGTGGAAAGTACCTCTTCTTTAGGATTAAAATCCCCCATAGGTTTGACATGATGACCCATCATGATCTGTTATATAATAGGCTCTATAAAAGGCACATAATCTATGGATTAGTGACACAATAGGCATGACAATTCCTATGGGCTATTATCATGCCATATTATAGATGCAGCTGCTTCATGCTGTGTGGAAGCAGAACTGTCGTATAATCTGTGCATATGATGAAATTATAGCCAAAGCACTCGTTGTACTTAAGGGCTTCCCCATAAGCCACTTTTAAACCTTTCCAATTCAGCTGCATAAAGATAAAAAAAAGGGCTGCAACATCCTGTGACTTCAGATGGAAAAGGTGAATCAGTCCTAGAAAAGGATTCCCCCATCGGCTTGGATCTGTTGGAGAGAAGCAATATTTTGCAGTAACTGGATATTATTTTGTCACTTAACTTTTGTATAATTGTTTACTTCAAAGCCTTTTACTAGAACACAATGTCACATTCTAGACCTGTCTCTGGCTTAAAAAAAACAACCAGCAAAGCTTGGACAAAATTTTTCTGTGTTAAAATTTGTCTTCATATTTTAAATATTTTGTAGAAATACTTAACTATGTTCCAGAAATACTAAACATTTTGCAGAAAAAATGTGAGATTTTTTCGTGAAGATTGGTCAATATCTTTAACAAAATTAATTTCAAACTTCTTATTCCTGAAACTACATTCTTTAAATTGCAAATAGTGTGAAAGATTTAGTGAAAAAAACCCAACCAAAAAAAATGAGCTGCTCTCAAATCATGTGAAACTGAAATAGCACCACTATACTGGATTTTTGTATTCTGTAATTTTGCCATTTTATTTCCTGGGTCCTGTTAATAGTTCTAGTCCTTTTGTTTCTTCTTCCCTAACATCTTCGTAAATGCCTAACACTCTCTGAAAACTGATGTTCTGCATTTACAAAATCTTAGGCCTTTGCCTAGGATGGCTGCATATTTGTGTGAACACAGATTTCCCCCATCTGGGCAGGTCCATGCAAAGCAGCACACCTTTACAGTTGAGCAGATCTCAGCCAACTAGTTTGTCTAAGAGGGCTTAATTCTGTGTTGAATGAGTTCATTGTCGACTGGAAATGACTACATGAGTTAGAGAAAAAAGCTCCTTAACTTAGTAGAAAAGAGCATTATGAGATATAGTAGCTGAAAATTTAAAACTAGACCAGTCAAGGCAGAAATCAGGTGTGAATTTAAAGATTATCCATTAAGCACTAAGACACCTTACACAGAAGGGTAATAAATTTTCCACCATGCAGCCATTCAGTCAGACTTTTGATTTTCTAAGAGAAATCCTCCTGAAAGCTAGAAGATAAATTTTCTAATGGCAACAGAAGTTACAGGCTTGATCAAAAAGCCCCTGAGAAAAGTTTGTCTTGTGTTACACAGAAGGTGTGACTAGATAATCATAGAGGTCCTTCCTTCTGACTCTCCCTAGCTTAGTGCCAGCAGAATTGCCTCTGTGTTCTACACTGAGTTCATATCACTTGTGCTGATACACTGGCAGCTGCCTGTCATTCCATTTCTGCTGAGGGCTTCATGGCATCCTAGTTACTCTTAGAAAGCTTATAAATTCCTAAAGATAAAAGGGACAAAAAGTTACCTTTGTCTCCCTCTCCATTCCATACAGTTGCTTTCCTTTGCCTCTGCTTCATACATCTGCCTTATTTTTTCCATTATGTATTCTTCTAACATCAAATATGTCCATAACAATAGGGCCACCAAATAGGAGGGCCATCAGCCCTGTCTAACAGCACATCTCTCAGTCTCCAGCCGGTTCTATATTCAGTCAGGTTTCCAGTACAGCAAACACTACTCGACCACTTAAATAACTCCAGGTCAAATGTGCTCTGAGACTGACTGGAGCTTCACAGCACAGATAACTGTTAATGAACAGTTTTACTAGTAGTCTTACAACCTTATCACTAGCTTTTGCTTTAACTGGGAATTTTTTTGCAAAACTGTCCTCTGTGAGCTCTGTGAGTGTTAGACATTTCATTTTCTCAGGTCCTGTGTAAATATAAAGGTTTCCAAGCTCCATCTGGTTCCAGTTACTCAAGCAATAGAAATACACATGCTTCAGGAATTTGCAGATGGAGACTTACTGCCTTGCTGCCTTATAAAATCCTTTACAAAGTTCACCATGCTCAGTTGCCTCCTGAGATACCTGTAGTCTGTAAAACAATTTTCCCAAAAACTTACTTAAGTTAGAGAAACAAATAAGCTGACAGGCTCAGGGCCCTTCTTTCTAATAAGGTTAACCTGCCTTCGTTCCTAATAGGGCTTTATAACACACACACGCACACACACACCCTTGACCACCAAAGACTGCCTCTTCCTGAAATCCCCTGTTCATATAAATACAGGAAGTAGAAATAAGAGAGGCTAAAATCAGACCTTCTTGGTAGTTTGCTTTCATTTCAGTGCTTGTTTAGTCCTCTGCCCTCCGATACTACTGAGCTTGAAGCTGGTTTTAAACATCCTCCCCCTGCCGCCCCTTGAAATATCATCTTCAGTACAAAACCTTAGGATGTGGAGGTTCTGCTCAGCGATGGAAAGGAACTGCTTTCTGTACCAAGGAACTCTAAAGCCACTGTGAAACAAAGTGTCTTGAAGTTTGCTGTAATGATGAAAACATCAGCAGGAGACAAGGGAGCCAGGGATAACTCAGGGTAAGTCCTGAATCTTTAGTGACTGCTAATCTTTAATAACTGTCGCTTTCCTTTTCCTACTTAACAAAGAGCTCTCAGCTGCATTTGCAAGCTGTCTGCCGAGTTATCAGCTACACTGTCACAATGATGTGGCATGACTGTACTGCAATTTACAGTATTTCCTTTAGCTAACATGTTCCAGCTGAAAACAAACTGCAATACCTTTATTTAGCTTGAATTTTAGCTATTTAGGGAAAAAAGACGGAAGAATTCCAAGCTGCAGTTTAGGGCAAAGCACAGAATAAGGGAGTCCTGTGCTTTTGGAAACATGACAAATCTTTTCTGGGAGGACTGCTTTGTTTCTACCGAAATGGGGAGAAGTGGATAAGGGCTCGTCCCTATGAGCTGATGATCACTCCAGCTCCAGCACACCAAGGTACACCAACCCTGTCCACAGGCTCCCAGCAGACTTCAGATATGCTTTCTGCTAAGAAAAAACTGCAGGCTTTCCTCGCTCCTGGCCAACAGACACTACACCTTGCAGGATGGAACCCCAAGAAAACATAGTGGGAGAGAAAATGGGTTTTGGTTGGGAAGACAATCAGCTGCTGGGATTCCAGGATCAGGCTGGAATCCGCCCAAGGTTCACTTGTGTCATAAAGCCCATGCTGAAGCTGACTGTTTCTGTTTCCTGTTGAAAACAATCAGAGGAAAATTACATAGCTGCTGAAACCTTTGGTCATCCCCTTTGGAAAAACATATAATACCAGATATTAAGAGTGTTTCTTATCTGTCTGGTACACTTAGCCTATTTCCCATGAATAAAAGCTCCCAGATGTGTCTGTGATGGGTGCAGTAGAAGCTGTATAGGTGGATAGGGGGTACTTGCATTTTCAGTCAGTGTGCTGCATGTCAGCCCCTTTGATAAAATTGCTGCTGACAGGCTAGTGTGTTACAGTTTCACTGTAGCACTGTTCCCAAATACAAGGAGTATGGGGGACAGAGGGAGAACCTGCATTACAACTGTCACTGCTTTTGCCTTGTTCAGTTGTTTACAGTAAGTAGAACAATGACACTCCTGTTCCAAGGTACAATTCCTCAGTTCCGCTTAATGTTAAACACTGAGAGACAAAGATCACACAGCCATAAGGAAAAATTGAGAGAATCCAATCCCTGTAGACTAGGAAGAGGAATTTAGTAGATGGTAATCCAAAGAATTTGCAGACATTCCCTGGATTTGTGATAGTTTAGATGCCAAGTACTGAGAAACTGAAAGATTTATACTGTTTATCTCTTTCTCAGTCTGTCTGAAAGGACCCACATGCTTGCAAAGGTTTACTTTCAGTTTATAGTTGCAGGAGAAAGTAAATGAGCCATAGACCCTGGATTTGGACTGTAAATCAAGTGGTTGCAGGAATACTGAAGCATGAATGGTCATGACTCGTGTGTTCTTCATGTTTGTGAGCATCTGAACAATTTAACAGAATGGTCTTTTACTTCATTAACTGATTGTTTTTATTTTCAGTCTACCTTCTGCTCACAAAAAGGAATTTAGGTATTTAAAAAAAGTTTTAGCTCTCTGTTTACATGCCACAATGTTGCTGAAGATCTTCAAAATTACACTTCAGCATGCATTCCTTGTGGCCTCAGACACATTATAGAATTAGAAATGTGTCTAAGTGATGTATAGCTAATTTCCTGTTATGGTCACATTGAATTAGGCAGCAATTTCACAAAGTATGTGTAGATAAAACTGGTGGCTTTCAAAAGATATGGTAACAAAAGGGAAGCTGCCAATGGAGAATTTGGACCTGATTTTCAAGTTCTGTGCACAAAAACTGCATGAGCAATTGCTGACATTTCACCTTCATTCACCATATTTATTAATTAAATGGGAAAGCTTACTCACAGAAACTATGACAATGCAAACTGTCATAAAAGTACTCTAGCAACTTGGAAAGTATCCATGTATCCATTCCTAGTAATGACTGAAGGGTGTATTCTGCATATAGCAGATCAATAAGGAAGTTTTGCTGACTTACACCTCTGAAATGGCAGAAAGACACTGGGGAGAAATCTGCCTCCAGAGTTAGTAGCTCCCTAGAGAGGAATGTGGGGAGAAGTGTAGCTAGAGGTTGGGTAGAAATCTATCTAATCAAATTCTTCCAAAATATGTTGGGAGAGAAACGGGGAAATTTAACCAGTAATTCTGAGCTAGAGTCAGGCTAACTCCTGAGAACGTTAATAAGTGGTGAGATCACGAAACATCTGGAGAAATGTGAGCTGATTGAGCCTGGTGACCACAGTTTCATGAAAAGGTATATGCCTTCATTCCAACATCTGGCAAATATATAGAGGAGATGATGAGGAGACCAGACAGGAGCTGAGACAGAGACATAATATGCAAATATTAAATAGTCCTTTGAGATAATGGCTGATTCGGGTAGCTGGGATGGGTTACAGTGGTTCTTATTTCTGGGGCACCAGGCTGCCTAATGAAGTAATGATTGTACATCTTGTCAGTGTAATGTCTTTTTGACACAAAACCCACCATCACAGTTGACAGATTTCATGTGATGAATGTAGATATAAAGAGGTCAAGCATTGGAGGAATCTGGAAGCAACTCATAGGTTCACAGATTTTAGCTTCAAAAGGAACTGTTTTGATTGTCTAGTCCAATCTCCTGTGCAGAGCAGACCAAAGAACCACTTTGGTAAGCATGCTATCAAACCCGTGACTTCTACTCGAATGGGAGCTTTTAGATAATTTGTTGACCACAAAAGCATTCTTATCAAATGACTCTTTGGCCCAGGCTACATATCTGTCTGCCGTGAGGTAAATAAATTTAATACCACCGTTTACAGATTAGAACAGAGAAAACAATTTTTAAAAACTCCTCAGGAGCCGTCCTCTGTAAAGGACTTAATCCAAGCTTCTTTGAATCAGTGGAGTAAGTCCTGTTGACCTCAGGAGGTCTGGGACCCAATGCAAAGTACTGCGCAAAGAAAACTTCAACTTAGAACATGTGAGATGGGGTGTTTAAGTGGGAAAGGGACAATTCGGGCAATGGGAAACATCAGTATCATCAAATATCTCTGCTGTGTAAGGGGTACACTTTTCAGTCCTAGGGGATGGTGTTTTCAGGAGGGAAATGTCTGTGCTCAAGATTCATTGTGCCAAGATCAGGATATTACTGTAAAGATACAAAGGAGGTGCTCTCCGAAGATACCTGAATTTAGTGCATCCAGAGAAGAGACACAAAAATCTCCTGAAATTCATTTAACAGAAAAGCATGTTTACAACCACACTGACTTGTCATGTGACCTTTTCAGCACTTCTCAGTATGTGACTACTTGCCAAATTTAATGGATGCTTTGAGCACATTGCGCAGTAATAACTGCTGGTAGTGCAGAAGGAAACTGTCCCTTTGTCTGATAGAGGATAGACCACACTGGGAATGTTGCCCTTGAGTAGAGAACTCCTCATCATTGCAGACAGTCTCATACCAGTGTTCACGGGAATGAGGACATGAATGTTAGCAATATTCTGCTCATCTCCTTTCTACTACAGTTTCAGCTAAATATAGTTTTTCACTTCCTGTCCTAAATGTCTATGTGCTGGTTTGTACCATTCACTTTCAAAGCTAAAGGTAGCATAGGCTGAGAAATGTACACACATATGTGCCTCCATCTCTTCCTCTGTGTGTACAGGTAGAACAGTGTGTCCTGGAGAGGAGCTATGAGCGTTGCTTGGCACGAATTTGGACTGTCTTCATCCTTTACCAAACCATGTGTATATAGTCCAGGTATCTCAGAGATTATCTATTTTCTAGCATTTTTCCAAATGACAGTAGGACTATGTTTTAACTCATCCATCAGTAAATATAGGCAGCTTCTCTGAGATCAACATATAGGCTTGTGAGGCTCAGAATGATTGCTAAAATTACCTGAAAAAGAGACATAAAAGCCAATACCTACACCCAATATGCTAAAAAAAGAAGCTGCAGGAAGATTCACTTGTCAGAGTTTTAAATGCTTGCCTGCTAAAGAACACAGAAACCGAAGTGTCTTAGTGAAGCTAGGACAAAATATTGTCCATCACAGACCTTTAGCCATTATAATTTTGGAAGGGACGAGGGTTTCTTGCATTTGGGAATAGAAACAAATAGTTCTTTGGAAGGGTAATTAGAAAGAAAATGCAGCTGTTTGGAAGGACTGACCAAATTCTAGTGCAGATGTATCTGTGAGTAGAGGGTAGTATGGTCATCAAAGCCCTATGATGTTCTGGAAGATTATCACACTTTCCCAGTGGTATCACAAAAGTATTCCCCCTGTGTAGGGAAAGGTGTGTGTATGTTTGTGATTGTTTAGGTTGCCCTTTGTGAGGAATTGAAATTGAATAACAGTGAATGTAGGTGTTTAAGAAGATATTATGAGATTTAGAATTAGAAAGAACCAGGGGAAAGCACATTTAGTACATGTTCTCTAGAAGACCAAGGAGAGATTATAATCCCTCTTGCCATATTATCATCAGTACAGAGTGGTACTACAGTCAAAGGGTGTGGGATGTGTTGGGATGGACTTGCTCTTGGCAGCCCTGGTGTTCAGAGCAACGACTAGATCATAGATCACTGTGCTGATTTGGGGCCTTATATGGAAGGGACTTCTGAGGAATTAAAGCACAAATAACTACAAACCTGAGATGTTTGGTCATTAGAAAAAAAATCATAATATTCTGTAGGTTTGAAGTATTTATGCTGCCAAAGACTTCAGATTTATCTTTCAGAATAGTTATGGATCAAAACTGAGAAAACAAGAATGGAAGACTATGTTCCACCACAGAAGAATAGCTTTAAGAAGGCCTTCAAGATCTAGTGAAAGCAGTTAACACAGTCACGCTCAAAAGGCAATTAAGTAGCAGTTCTTGGGCCTCAAACTAGGCACTGGTATAAGCAGTGGTCTGCAATTCAGCCTGTGTCCTAGATTACTTCCTCATCCTAATTTTGAGATTAATTTTTTCT